CTTTTCTAAAGTAGGCTATTTAGCTGGGGCGCAGATGTTGGCAACGCCAGTTTAATTTGATCGCGAATCAGATGGTAAAGGAGCGATAATTATATATTTAGTTGCTCGGGAGCCACGTTGACTTGACAATGTTCTGATCACTTTGCGTGTCTTGCAAGAATTTCAGTACCAACATTTGATAAGCTGATATTCAAGACTTTTCACATCTTATTGTGTCAAGCAACCGTCTTAAGGCCCCGCATTTTGACTTCTTTTTGTGGCGTTTTTTAGACTTCGGGCTACCGCTGTGATCTTACAATCTAGGGGTATTATCGGCATTACAGTTTAAAAAGCCTCTTTAAATAATGCTCTTCTCTTCGACCCAACATATAATCCGAAGTAGTGTTCTTTTATAACTATCAATGCTACATCAAGGGACCGGTGCGGCTTGACTTAAGTCTTGAATGGGGCAATTTATCCAACTGTTTGGCTACTTTGCAAACCACACTTATTGGTGCACTTCAGTTGTTTCAAAATGCACATAGGCTGTAAAGCAAAACTGGCTGGCTGGTTCAGGTTTAGTCAACCTTACACCTTTTGTCTTATTAGTTCTTGTCCGAGTCAAGTCCACTGGGACTCAACACAATGACCGACGTGTCGTGCGGCTACGTTTAACGCTCGTCATACGCATCTGCGGCGATAGTTGAGGCCTCCCACCGACTTGGCACAGTCTAACTAGTTATTGGCCAATATGGCCCCGTTTTCGTACAGTTCACGTGTTTTACAGCCCGTCTAGTGAACGTTTATTAGAAGGAACTGCATACAAGCACGCGTTTTAAATATCTCCCCAAAGAACAGCGGTCGGCCCTTCCAATGCATATTAACAAAGTATCGGACTCCGCAGCGCATTTGTCCCAATTCATTCAAGGCACCAAAGTGTGTCCTTGTTCGCACATTCATTGCTTTCCGCGAACTTAGATTAATACTGAACACGAGCTGACCTCCTCTTCTTATATTATTTGAAGCGGTCAAGTGTTTTGTATAGTTTAGTTCCGTTGTTGTAAATTTCAGAATATAAGCTGTCCCAGAACTCATTCTGCTGGCACTGCATTTTTCTGTACCTAACCGTTTCTCAGACGGGGGACTTTCGTGATAACCAGGACTCGTCTTTTTTCGGAAGAGTCACTTGGTCCTGTCTGTCTATCCCAGTTGCTTAAAAAAATCAACAGATCCGGCCAACCGGCTCTTGTGACTGTGAGTTGAACATTTCTTTGTTGCGCTGTTAGGCAATTGATGCTGGGGGCGTTGACGGAAGTGGCAGCAGAGGTGTTGATAAGGTATCTTTTCGGTCTTATGCAAGCTATCCTGTCATCATCTGGCTTGCTTTTAGACAATTCCTTCTCCGAGAACGCAGTCCCCGTCGTTTTTTTTCTACCAAGAAAGTCACACGAGCCAACGGGGCAGAGGTCATACAAAAATCTAACTCCAGCATCCTACCTTCCTTAGAGCCAACGTACTATTCGTCAGTACCATTGAATTGAATGTGCAGAGGTGATTAGT